CTAGTCCAGTAATTTTTTTGTTTAATATTTTGGCTTAGAGTTTTAATTTTTAGGAAGAGTGTAAATGCCTAACCCTGTATGAAGTACTATTAATGAAATGGCGGGGAGGTTATTTTTGTTCATTTTTAAGTCTGCCTACTCACCTCCTTAGTTTCCTGCTACTCTGACGGGGAGACATTAGTGATGGGGCCAGAATTTTGCCTCTATAGCGCCTTCCCTCCCATGACTGCTTCACATGCCTTGATACAGAAATACAATCTCTCTCTCTTTCCAGGAAAAATATTTCTATGTTTTCAGATTGATAGTGTGTCTCTTATACAGTGTTGGTGTGTGGCTGTGTATTAAACCTAATTTATGGTTTACTTTGTTCTATTTTGTGGGAAGGAGATGCAGTTTGGTTTCCCGCTAAACGTTTCCACTGGGTTTGATATGAGGCATCATGTCCCCCAGGGCCTTTTGTCTCTAATGCTGATTCTTACCTTGCTGGAATTATGTGTAGCCATCTCTGTCTCAGCCATGTGGTGCAAAGCAAACTGCTGTAGCTCAAGAGAGGTAGGTTTGTTGCAATAACTAATACTTCCCATGGCCTGCCACCCTCCCTCTAGGGTTGAGGTCATCTCTGACTCTTGAAGTTGGAGAGAAACTTCTATGCAGTAGTGATCTGTGGGGTTCCTGGAGTTACAGATGGTATGAATGTTAGAGATGGGATGAAGGCTGGAAAGGAATTCCAATGCAAAAATGCAAGAGGAAATAATGTATTCCATACCTAAGAGCACATATTTTTTATACAGATAACTTAATTTATTATTTTCCTGTACTTTGTCACTTTCTAGCTGTATGCCCACGAAAAATCACCAATTCCTTTTAGATTTTTGCTATTTAAACTGTAAAATGAAAACGTTTTCATTCATTTCTGGTGTTTGTTGTAAAGACTATGTATATAATACTTTAGCAGAGTAATAACCAGTGAGTGAATATTATCGATGATGATCATGTTGATAATGGGAAGGGATGGAAGGAGAAGCAGCTGATGATTCTATTTTTGGAGATTGACGTCGTTTCATTTTTCAGGGACTTTCCTCACCTCCCAGTGCTGTGGAATCAGGAGTGCATCCCCATTAAAGTAAATCTGAGCACAAGGAAACTCGACCCCAGATCTCCATGAGTTAGAGCTGCATCCAGAACCCAAGAGAACATGAACCTGTGAAACGCATTCCTACTCCCATGGTACTGGTCACGAGAAACTTGGACATTTGACTCAGTCCTTTGTGTCCTAACTATAAACCCCATTCGTGTGTCTTGATACAGGGGGACAAATATAACTCTTTAGCATTCTTGGCTTTGTAACTTCCATGATTGCCGCTCCACAGCTAGCCCCAGAAAGGGGTTCTCTCTTCCTGCCCCCATGCCATTGCTGTATAAGGTTTAAAGGGAGCAGGGCACCTCTGTCTCAGGTGTTCTCTCTCAAATCCAACTTCCGTCTACCCAATGAGAACAAAAACGAGTCAAAAAAACCCCTTTTTTTGTTACAGAAAAATGCTTCTTGACTTTTGATGACATCAGCATTGCAAAAACTGTCAAACAAAAAAATCCTCATTCTCATCATTAAGACAAATTTCAACTATATTTGAGGTGGGAGGGTCAAGCCTCAAGATTTTATTTCAATCAGCGGCCGAGATGCAGCTCCACGTGGATACGGAAATTAAGGTTTAGATTGGGGACTTTGAGAGCAAGGTCAACAGTTATTCTTCGAAGCATGGTGAGAGACTGCAAAACAGGGAAATAAAGAATGAGCGCTTTAAAGCCTCACAGATCTGGGTTCAAATTCTGATGCCATCACTCATAACCTGTGTTGATTTGAGCAAGTTACTTAACCTCTCTGACCTCTTTTCCCTCACCTGTAAAATAAGTGCAATAGCATCAACTACTCTTCCAACAGTTTTTATGAGGGCGAAATAAAAGTAAAGCCCCCCACCTCCTTGACAATGGTCTTGCTGTCGCTGGTCTTGTCGCTGCAGGACCGTGGTCAGATGGCGGTCAGATGCACAGAGAAGAGGGCAGAGAGCTTCGGGCTCCCATTGCGGCGCCGCCTACACCCTCCAGCGACTTCAGTGGTCTTTTCAAGGTGGCAATTTGATGTGACAGCTCCCTCTGATATATCTGGCTCCTGATTTATAAATCTACTGCTGAAGTGTTTATATTTCTGACCTATGAGTGAATTTTCCTCTCTAGATACTGAATCATCCACAATGTCTATAGATTCGTACCCATGAGTTACTCTTAGCTCCTTGTTTACCGTACGTGCAAAGATTGTTCTACATTCTCTGCTAATTCTTATCTCTGTTCATCAGAACATGTGTATTTGTATACATATATGTGTGTATATATATATAAACGATTTGCTTTTTAGTACATTCAACAATCATTTAGGGAGTGCCTACTGTGTGTCGTGTGTTGCATTAGGAGCTTGGCATACAACACAGTGTTTTAAGCACCTGAGTAGTCTGTATAAATCTTTCTCTTTGCATTTTTGAGGTTATATAGATGGAGAGACAAAGGTATTCTCTTCAAGTTCAGACTCAGCCTTAGGCCTTTTAGTATCACCCATCTTGTCCTGTGAACAATATTTTTTCATTCCTATGGACCACTGAGAGGTTCGTATCAGTCTCAGCCTCTATCAGTCTTGGCACCTTAACCATATTTATTGAACCCATACTTGGATCTGGGGGTGGGGAGAGAGAGAGAGAGATTTCCTTTGGGAGTATCAGAAAATACCCCTTAAGAGACAGTGCACTTTTAACGTGTGGCATGCAAATTCATGCATATTTATTTTAAGTAACTTGAGCACTCAGTTTGAGAAAGCAGTTGTTCCGATGCGATCTGAAAGCAAATTTCTTTCGCGTTTGGGGAAATAGGTCTGGTGTGTAACCGAGAGAAGAAACTTGGCTTGTTACAGAGGAAGGCAGGCGGGTGGGGGTGGGAAGCATGTGCTAACGTGTCGTCAGGAGGAGGAAATGTATGCGGTGGGGAGCAATGGTAGCTCGATTATCTCTTCCTTTCAGGCAGATGCATGATTAAAACTCATCTTGATCATGTTGCCCCCACCAAAAAGAAAGCCATTTTGGCACATGTTTCAGTGTTCGCTGCTGGGGAAGGGGACGGAGCACCCGGCCGGGCCCGCGCGGGCCCAGGAGCTGACCCGCGTCTCGGAGGCGGGGAGAGCGTGCTGGTGGGAACTGGGGTGAGGCAATCCGGGGGCCGTAGAGCATGTCTCGGCTTCGGGGTGCATTTTGCAAGTTCCTGTGGAAAATTCTCACAAAATAGCATCGTGTCCAAACACTGCAGACCATTCTCCATCAGTGTCCTGTCTAAATCTCAAGTCTGCTTTCTAATTATTTGCTGCACATACAATGAACTACTTATATGCTCCCAGAAAACACCGTAAACAGGTCTTTTTCCAGCAGAGGCGGTGTAATTTCATTTCTCCAGGTCTTTTCCCAGCAGAGGCGGTGTAATTTCATTTCTCCAGGTCTTTTTCCAGCAGAGGTGGTGTAATTTCACTGAGGGAGAGGCAAGGAACCTCCTGAGGCTGTGATTAGCAGCCTCTGATGTATTGGTAATATTATCTCATTTATCTTCCTCCTACTCTGCTAGATTGTGAGCTGGACAAGGGCGAGGACCACGGTGCTCATCTCTGCATGCTCAGTGATGCCGGCAGCACCTCACATGGTGTGTTAAGTCCCTTTTGGATGAATGTATAAGTGAATGAGGTTTATTTCTAATTACAACAACACATTGGTCAGGCCCGCCAATTGCTCAAGACACAGTGGGAAGATGGCGCGTGGGTTAATAAATTTTTGTTACGAAAGGCATGCCAGTATATATTTTAGTGTCCTCTGTTCAGTGTCCACACAATTATCCTAGTTTCCTGGAGAATGAGGATTTTATCACACCCTGGAGAAACAATTAGATGATTAGAGGTGCAATTTGTAGTATCTTACGTTTAATGAAGAGGCATTCAAGGTTATGTCTATAATCCAACTGAAATTAAAGTGTCCCAAGTCTGTGGACCTCACCTATATGCTCACTGTGCTATGGTCTAGCGAGTTAGGCAATTAGAAGAAGCACATTAATTTAGCTCTAACCCTAATTGGGGCATATTGCTCAGTGCAGTGCCACTGAGGCCGACTCATAGGATTTGCCATCAAGTCCGTGCCCCTCGGCGTTTCCACCGCCCCATCCTTGTCGTCACAAAAATCGAAGCGGTGGACCATTAATCTAATAACTTAGCAGACAACGGAGTCTTCATTGTGAACACGTCTTAGCTTCCACACTCTATCAGGAATGTTCACAGCAGTTAGAACTCTCCCTATTTAGTGTCTGAGACCACGTTGCAGAGAGCTAGATAAACTGTGTCCAAAAGAGAGGAAGAGAGAGAAAGACAATGAATGTTGAAGCCAGAGACGAATCTGGAGACTCAGAGGCTGACACACCTACTTGCTCACAGTGCTTCAGCCTCAGATTATATGTGAATCTAAGTGTGTCTTAAACAGGGAAGATGGGCTACCCAAAGGCCCAGTGGGAGAGCTTCCACCATACAAATGGCCATACTGGGACGCAAGGAGAGAATGTTCCAGAAGACAAGGACATCTTTCTGTTCTGCAGCTTCTTTCTCACCTTCTCAATCTCCCTTAAATGGTTTCATTTTTAGCATCTGTGGATCCTGCTGGTCTCACGTAGAGCTCTTCTTCAGGAGCCTCACACTGGCGTCTATTCAGTAGATGACTCAATTTTTCTCTTCATGTAACAAGAAAAACCCTATTGATCTTAATCAGCCAGTAAACTTATCTGTCTGACAAATGTCTTAACTTCGAAGATAGTCATCAATGCCATGAGTCAATCCATCTTAACTGCCCACCCAGGGCACACCCTGAGAGGATGCCCACCAAGGCTTGTCGTTAACAATATTCTTTGCCTCTGGATAGCTCAATTAATAAAAAAATGGACACAGAAGAAAGAAGCAGAGCAGATCTTGCTCTCCCAAATCCACAAGAGTCCTCCAGGTAAGCACTGGCTATTATTATTTCTTCTATGCTCAGTTACTTAGTGGACCAGAGATAGTCACAGTGCTGGGGAGATGTGAATTCATGGACTCGGTCATGGACCCGTCTCGTTTAGTTAACATATAAGTATAAGGAGGCTATTTGCTATACTTTACCAGTAGATCTCTGATTGATGGGGAGGAGTTTTTACTCACCTTGTGAACTGGGAATAACTTAGTTTTCTAACAGAAGAGGGTCACATTCTGGGTATGAGTTAGGGGAGTTTGTACTATCAATATAGATCTCTTGCCTCTGTGTCTGATTAGTGCCAAGGGACAGACTCTTTTTAAAATGACTCTGGGCTCCTTGTCTAGTCTTTGTAAACCTCAAGCTGTGGGATCCTGCACCACTGCTTAGAGGGGAGATGTTCTTGGAGTGAAGGCCAATAGCGGTGGATAATTTAGTTTTCCTTTGAATGCCAAACAGGATCATGTGTTAAGACTTTCCTTTGAAAGGTTTTAAGAGAGGCTGAAAACAGATCTTTGGGAATCAATGTCAGATTATTAACTGGTAAGTGTATTCCAAATCTTTGGAAGGGAGAGCATCTCCAGTTAACCCCCTCTGGGGATGAAAACAGGATTAGAGATTCAACTAACCCTTCAAAGCCATTTCTTTGTGCACATGAAATTGGGTGTGTCAGTGACAAAATATGTTCCGACACATTTCTATGTTAAAAGGACTGAGAGATGCATAGGTAAACATCTTCAGTCATTTTTATTCTCACTCATCAGCATAGATTAATGGGAAAGAACTTGGATTAATAAGAACACTTGGCACAGTTTTCATTCCATTTTGTGTCTTCTAATTACTGATTGGAGTGTGATCTTGGCCAGTTACTTAGACCCTTTGAGCCTCAGCTTTTTACTCATTGCAATAAAGATTTTAATTGCAAGATTGTTTTGAAAAAATAAACAAAACTCCCCTTTTCGTGAGTTCAGAACTTTGCACAGAAGTTAGTAAATTTTCTCATGACTGAATTTCTGTTTGAACTTCACAGTGTGTCTGCAATTGAACTTTCAGAAAGACCTTTCCACGATAACACCCCACTGGAGAATCTTGCCCCATTACCACGCCAGACATGGCTGACATTTTTAAAGAGGGAGCTGGAATTCCTGGGGGTAAGTGAGCCCTCTCCAACCTCATTTAAAATAAGGACTGGCTCTAGGAAAGAGTATCTGGTTGCACCTACAGTTTCCCCACTTGGATTCATGAGGAGTAAAGGGCCCAGTAGATGAAGAGTTGACACCAGCCAGGCCCTATTGGGTAGAAAAAAATCATCTCCTCATGAAGACTAGAATGAAAATGGCAAATAGAACCTGCCAATTTTGGCCAGTTGCTGGTGGATTAATGTAACATCTTGCTGTGAAGAATGTATAATCTTTATCTTCACTTAGATGGAAAGGAAAATTATTGATATCCACCATGTCTACCTAAGTAAAGGTGATGAGAATTGTCTTGGCCATTCCTGCAGCAGGCCATTGCTGTATCAATTCTTTGAGTGGTTAGAGGACACTGGAAAATAGCACCTTTGGATCCTTTCTCAGGACTGCCTAAGACACCAAAGCAATTTCCCACATTTGGCCTCGATTGTAAGGAAATTGATACAATCTTGGAGAAATATCATTTTATTCCACAAAAGTCATGCATTTTTCTACAGGTAACACAAATTCTGATTGGTTTCATATGCCTTTGTTTTGGAATCATTGTCTACTTCGTGTTCAAGATTTCAGAATTTGAGAAAGATTTTTTTTCATCATTTAAAGCAGGCTACCCATTCTGGGGAGCAGCAGTCGTGAGTATATATCTATAATTGTCTCTGAAATAACACTGCACATAGCTTTTCTCTTACCCAGATCAGATCTACCCAATTGTTTATCTCTAGTTTTCAGATTTATATAATAATATATTTGTATTTATATCATATATATATATATTTGTATGAAAACGTACACACAGTTCATGTGTACATGTAACTTTGGGAGGCACTCTGGAGGGAATCAGAACATGAACATAGTGAGCTCGTGGAAAGCCTGAGAGCTGACTTTGCAGAGTGCCCCCAGCTTCCCCTACACTGGAGGGGGTGAAAAGGCCATGGAGAAGAGCAGACTCACTGTGCTTCCTCTCTTCCTTTGGACAGTTCGTTATTTCTGGATTTTTGTCAATTATGTCTGAAAAGGAAAATGCAGGATATCTGGTGAGTTGCAACTCTGTCATTGCTCATCCTTGAGAAGGTAAGAAAAGTCGAATTTTAGGAGTCTTGAGGGATACAGGTCATCATCTCTTATGTTATGAGATAATGGGGATATGTGATTTCCCCCCCAGTCTGTTTTGTATTGGATATAATCATTAAAACATCAATTGTGTCATTTAAAAACAATAAAGTGGAATTACTTTGACACTTGTTTAGAAAATGTCCTCACACAAGCCTTATCCTCGCGGTATAGACATATGACCAAATGAATGACTCGTTTCCACTTCGGGAGGCTATTTGAGGAGAGTCTGTGCGCCCGTGTGGGTCTTCCTGAATGTGATCCTAGCAAGAAGGTTATAGATTCTTATTAAACAGATACATTTTCCGGATCCCCCCCGTTAACCTACGTCTTTATACACGCAGGCGCCGCCAGGCCTGAGCGCCGGGGGCTGGCTGCGCGCCTGGCGGTGCGCGGACGGGCCTAAGTGGCTTTTCTTGTCAGGTGCAAGGGAGCCTGGGCGTGAACGTGGTGAGCGGCGTCGCCGCGGGGACAGGGATCTTCATCCTGGTCATGAACCTAAAGAGCAGCATGGCTTACATCAACATTTGCCAGGAGGCTCACGCGGATGACTTCTGCACGGCGGCTTTTTTCTCCACTGTATGTATTTCTTGGGGCCTACTCTCAGTGAAGAAGCCCTCGTTCCCTTCTTCCATGAACACAAGCCTTTGTTTCGCAACCTCTGGCACATAATGTGGTGTCGTGCAGGTTCATGCACAGATAGGCTGATGACACCCCCCACCCAGCTCCATTCTGCAAGGTTGGAGTCATCTGCCTTGAGTAACTCCTGGTTTTCGTGTGTGTGTGTGTGTGTGTGTGTGTGTGTGTGTGTGTGTGACTTTATAAGGACCGATCACGTGGGGGGTGATGAAATCAGGGGTGTCTGTAAGGGAATTCACCTCAGGGACACCTACCTGATGACTCGACTTGTCTTTTTTGGTTGTTGTTGGCTGTTCAACAGGAAATTGTGGCGATGATCCTGTTTCTCACCATTCTGGGGTTTGGGGTTGCTGTGTTAATCACAGTCTACAGAATTGGAGAAATGTTCAAAGAAAATCAGGTAGGCAGAGGCCTGATACTAAATCCTGAATAACAGGCTAAAGAAGTTGAGCTTAGTTGCTTAAACCCATGGCCTAGGTTTCCTGGAACATTTCTTACAGAAAAGTATTTCTCCAAGTTTTAGTGTTTTGATTTCCAAATCTCATGTTTCCAATCACATTCCCTACTCCTAAGTAGCACAAATATCAGTATATCTCTGTGACTGAGGGTTAGGAAAATAGAACCTTCATCATTTTAGAAAATGCAGATGCTTTGAAATGTGTTGGGCATGAGACGAATGAGCAGGTAGCAAGTGATGGAACCACTCAGATACCTGAGCTTATTTTCTGTCCCACAAGAGCTCCCTCATATTTGTTCCCATTGCCTCTTTTTTCCCTTGGCTTTCACCTTCCCACTTGCTCTGAAGCCTCAGTTTTCTTTCCTACCACCTGCATTTCCATTTGCTTTACCTAAGCCATTGCACCTTTGCTATATGAAAAAGAATTGCCAATACTCGGTGCACATACGCTTACTCAGATCTTCTAAATGAAATATATTCTCTCCATCTGTCTACTCGCCTGAAGCATTCAAAGGTGGTTGCCTTGTTTTGGTCATTTTCCTCCAAAGACAAACAAGACAGCAGATTTACCAAAGTCACACACACGCACCATCTTGTCATTGACTGCCATGGTTTATTTTGGGCCCACTTGGCCAGCCAATCTGGCTTGGTTTGTTGGAGATGGAGGGAATGATTAGAGTGTAATGGAAGAGAAGGTGAGATTCAGAAAGACAAAAGGAGGTGGTATATATCTCTTGAACGAGTCTTCCAGTGGTGGAAAATTCTTGGTGATTGATACTGAATAATTTTTCCCTTACCAGATTCCAGAAGATCGTCTTTATGAAGAATTAAATATATATTCACCGATTTACAGTGAGTTGGAAGAGAGAGTGGAGACATCTTCTCCCACTGATTCATAAGAATCATGTTCAGAACATTCTCATTTGTAGCAAAAGGTATCGAAAGCCAAGATCTTTGTTTAAGGAGCTACTGGCAAAATGTCAGTTTTCTCTATGACCCGCCAATTCTGCATTGTGATTTATTTTCCAGATGGTGCTGTTCTGTTTCTGTACACCCAAGTCCGCCCCCCACCCTGCGCCCAATTTGTAGATATGATAGATGCCTATTTTTCTTCTTTTCTATTGCTATTTCACACCCATGTTTTCTGGGAAACCAACATCCAATAAACATTTACTGTGTACCTACAACTGTGCAAATAAAAACAAGAGGAAGGCTGGTCGAGAGTTGAGTTAAATTTTAACAGTTTGATATTTGGCTTTCAACACTTCTTAGAGTTCACAGAAATGATGGGCATGGTACCTGCCCCCCACTAGGTCATAAGCACCATTCCACAAACATATCCTGAGACCCGATTAAGTGTCTGAAGTTTTCCACTTGTCTCTCTCATGCTGTGTATCCCAGTATTTCACCCGGAGTGGGGCTCGGTGTGTATTTATGAAGCGGATGGGTGCAGATGCGGGAGGATATCCCACCAGGCCAGGCCAGAGGTAGAGTCAACAAGGAGAGGAAATGATTCTGAAGTGAATTTGGAGGTGATAAGGAGACCAAATTCGTAGACGTTAAGAACAGGCTCAGGAGGATAGCGAGAGATTTGAACAGAGATTCTGCAAGCACATATTCAGTATTTGCGCCGATTCATATCAGGTTAGCAATGGGTGCTCCCTGCTTATGTTTGACCTTATTACATGGAGAAAACAGCGCAGTGTGCTAGAAGGATTGATCTGAGAAAGTGCAGGGAGTCTGCACTGGAATCCCAGGCCGACTGCTTACTAGTTGAGTGAGTTGTGGCAAATCATTTAATTATTTACTTAATATGGGTTTCCTCACCTGTAAAATGAAGATTAGGCATAATTTACCTGTCAGCACTCAAGGTCTATTGTGGATACACACACACATACACGTATGTTTCCGTCAATTAAAAGTGTTCTAAAAGAGATCATTATATAAATTATCTAATTTATAAATACATATAAGCAATCTCCAAATCTTAGTAATCTCCAGTGATATAAAATTTAAGCCCATTTTATCTTGACTTCAAGAGCCTCACTTTCCGGTCCCACTTCTCCTTTCTCTTTAAAGTGCTTTGTACTTGACCAGCGTGCATCGGTGCCCGGCCTGACCTCTCCTGCCCTCTCTTCTGTACTTGCTTGAACCCCGTCTTACGTTATCGCCCATCTTAACTCCCACTGTGTCCTTTACGATTTCCTAGCCAAGTCTGCTCCTCTCTCAAGGCGATGACTTTTTCAGACCAAATACACACACACACACACGCACACACACTCACACCCCTTACACTATATATAACGTTCTAAATGCAAATAACTTACATCCCATCCATGATAACACATTTCTTTCAAAGACTCAAAGTCTCATAAAGGTCTGTATGTTCCCTGAACCACCAGTACATTCATGGACACAACAGTCAATAATATTTGCAGATTGATGGGTGGGCAGTGGGGAGTTTAAGTTACTCAGTATCTGGTGAGATGGAAACCATAAGAGGAAAGATCATTGAAGGAGAAATTTGAAATGAAAGAAGATTAAATTAACGAAGACCTGAGCTAAAATAAAGTCAGTGGGCATGGAGAGAAGTGGTCATATCTAAAACACGGAGAGAAAGACTAATGGGTGTTCTTGTGAACAGGTTGAATAAAAGCGACTGGTTGTAACACATTAATTGTTTGAGTTTAAGATCAAAGGAGACCACCCGGGAATGCTGAGAGAAATGCTGGGGAGTTAGAAACATGAGTTGGTGGGGAGGAGTACAGCCAGGCCTAAACTAAGCTCCGCGTTAGATGGTCATTTTTAGACCAAATGAAATGCAGCCGGAGAGGCCCGAGAGCACCCGCCGCGGAGCTCTGGTGAAGATGACACGTGGCCATGGAGGGTCGTGTCACTAAGAGAGCTCATCACGTGGCGAAGCACACTAACGCCCTAAGAGAATTAAAATTTTTTTTTTTTTTTTAATATATCTTTATTGATTTCAGAGAGAGAAAAGGAGAGGGGAGGCAGAGATAGAAACATCAAAGGTTGAGAGTCACTGCTCGGCTAGCCCGCAACCCGGGCACGTGCCCTGACCAGGAATCGAACCCTGATCTCCTGGATCCTAGGTCGACGCTCAACTGTTGAGCCAAGCCCGGCCGGGCCCTAAGAGAATTTTTTAAAAATAAAAGTGAAGCCAAGTTAACCTCCACGTAAGTGATTTGGTGTGCCTGCCTAACCTCGGGACCTCAGGTTTTCTAACTTCATTTTTCTGAAGTAAAGCTCCTTTTCTCAAAATTTGACAGCAGAATGAAAGTGCACCCTCTCGGGTGTGGCGCGCTAAGCTGTATCTCAGTGTTGACCACCCGTAGGTACTGATCACACCGCTTCCATGGCACATGTATTCACATCCAAGCGCTGAGCCTGGCCTACACGGACCTCTCGAAATGGATCCAGTCTGTCGTTACAATCGCCTAATGTCTTATACCACTCTCTCTCCCCCGATTCATATTTTAACCACATAGTTGACTGTATATTTCTATGTGCACAGCATAATTTTTGTCTCAAGAAAATTCTGGTAATTGTCCTGCCCGCTGTCTTTTATCACGTGCCCACTTCAGATTCGCACAATATACAACTGCAGTGCTCTCCACCCATTCATCGCCCCAAATTATCTTTCTAAATATCTCATCTTTGAGGTCACCTCCTCCTTGAAGACTGCCTCGCGCACACCTGGTCATCCAGCCTTGGTTTCTTGCTTCATGACCCCTTACCCCACGACGCAGTGTGTAACCATGTTATTAGTGTACTTGGGATCTCCTTGATACATCAATTACTAGTGTTTGTGCAGTAAACCAGAACCATTTAACTTGATTTCTTGTCTCTGTGTATGTATGTGAGGGTGAGGGATTGATCAAGGATAATAGAATTGGCCCGGCCGGCGTGGCTCAGCGGCTGAGCATCGACCTAGCATCCAGGAGATGGAGGTTCGATTCCCGGTCAGGGCACAGGCCCCGATTTCGGGCTCGGTCCCCAGTCAGGGGCTTGCAGAAGGCAGCCGATCAATGACTCTCTCATCACTGATGTTTCTCTCTCTCTCTCTTCCTCCCCCTTCCTCTCTCTCAAGTCAATGGGGATATATTTTTTAAAAAGAAAAGAAAAAAAGAATGATGGAATTGAAGTATCAATTTAATGATGCCAAGGACCAAGCACAGTCTCTAGAGTCCTCCTTTTTATCAATGCTTTATCAAATGGGACAATCTATTAATAACCCCACAGACAGAAACAGTTGGAAGAACTATCGTCAGCCATCTCTTGTCAATAAATGGTGGAATGAAGTTGAAAGGGCATTGGACCATGAGTCTAATTTTACAAGTTTGTCCTGACTCTAATTTGTTTGTGAACAGTCTGTTCCTTTTGTGGAGCTTAGAAAAACAAGCTTCAATGGGCCCATGTGGGGATCTTAATGTAAATAGGTCCTCACAGTTTGGGGAAGAAGATAGATTTGAGTCTAACACACTCGGAGGAACCAAAAGAGGCTAAGGCTGGGGCTTTGGACACTGATGGATAGTGTGTCTGTTGTTTTTGTAATGAATACCACAACCTTAGAGGTTTAAAACGACACACATTTGTTATTTTAGTGTCTATGGGTCAGGACTCTGGGCATGGCTTAACCACATTCTCTGTTTCAGGATCACACAAGGCTGAAATCAAAGTGTTGGCAGGGTTTCGGTCTCATCTGAGGCTTAACTGAGAAAGGATTCACTTTCAAGCTTCCACTGTTGCCATAATCCAGTTCCTAGCAGTTGTAGGACAAAGGGCCCCATTTTCTTGCTGGTGTTTACTGGAGGTCTTTGTAGGCTGTTGGCTAGAGGCCACTCTCAATTCCTAAAAGCTGCCTACAGTTCCTTGCCACATAGAGGCCCCTAAATAGCTGTCTCTTTCCTCAAAGCCAGCAAGGGAAAAAAAGGCAGAAGATACACCCTTCTGCAGTGCAATCATGTAATCACAATACACACAATCACATACATCTTGGCTGTATTCCATTGATTCCAAACATGCCACGGTCTTGCCTATCCCAAAGGGAGGCAATCACAGAAGACATGAGCGCCAGGAGACAGGAATCATGAGGGGGAGCCTAGAGCCCGTCTGCTCCAGCTATGCAGGAGGTGTAAGTGGTACTGGGGAGGCCTGTCCCACAGGTGAGCCATGCGAGAGACCCCAGCTGGGTGGTCTTAGAGCTTGCTCCCAAAGGACACCAGGAGGAAGCAAGGAGACCTTGAGGCTGAAGGTTTTCGCTGGACACTCAGGGATGGGACAAAGGAGGAACTATGAGCAAGCAGCTGAGTAAGTGCATTAGAACTCTGTGGAACCAGATTCTCACTGGAACCACAGCTCATCCAACTCCTGTAAACATGACATCAAGTTGGGAAATTACCAATGAAGGAAGACATTTTCTGCCCCTCAGCTCTTCTCATTCTAACTTTGGCTCAGCAAGAATCAGAAATCCCTCTTAGCAAAGCTAGCAAAGGACAGGGGGGAAAAAGAGAACAGTCTTTCCTTTTTCCTATTTTAGACAGGTGTCCTGACTAAAGCAGACCCAAACGGAGAAAAAGAAGACTGTCAATGACAATGACAGCTGAGTTTTGATTCTTGGGGAAGACTGTGCATTTTAATTACTGAAGGGACTGGAGAACTTTTCACTAGTTGTCAGTAATTTATCTTAGATTTTAAATAAGAAACGGAAGGGGAACTAGGCACACTGAGAATGTTTGGAAAGGACAGTTGTGGGCAAAGAGTAAGGTTTTCTTTGAATTCTCTGCGTCGGTCCTGTTTATTCTACTACAAGGCACAAAGATTTTGGAAATCCGAGTAGCAGAAAAGGGCTGTGTTCTTTTGAGGGTCTCCATGTTGCATATATTCATGCTTTAGGGACTGAACTATTAAATTCCTCGACACCATAT